TATTCCTCTTAGCAGGCCAGATGCTTAAGGGAAGCAGACCTGTACAGAAAATGCAGATAAGGAGTAAAGAGAAGTCTGCTACTGGGAATCCTAGTCCCAAGGATTTTTCTTAAGCGAATAGACAGGATTTAATGAAGGCTGCTTACACCACTGATCCTTGAGGAATGGATGGCTGACAGAGGAAAGTTATGCCACAGCAGAGCAGCAGCAGCCATATTATAATTTTATATATATTGCAGGGTTGTAGGTCAATGTCCTCCTCAAAAATCTTGAGACTAGCTAATAAGTTCAGCTATTAAAAAAAGAATTATGTTCCTCCTGAGCAGGCCAGAAAATTCATATCAAAGCAAGGCTTAAAGTACTGCCATTTTACTCCTTATTTACTCATTTTCAAATTAATGTACTGAATGCCCAAAACACAATGATTCATTAGGAAGAGTTCAGTTACAGTAAAGGTTATCACATTTCATTAATGCTTTCTTGTCCAAAAGTAATTTGGGTTTGCTACTTTATTATTATTGTGCTATTATTATACTTACAAGTATATATAATATATATATAATATTATCTATAATAAATATATTTACTTATATTATTATACTCAAGGTCAGACCAGGTGAGAAAATTTCATGCTAAGAGTTTCAAGCTGTCTTCTGAATTGTTCAGTTTTTTCCCCCCTGCCAAATATTACTCAAGTATATGTTTACTAATTTAATAGAATTTGTTTTCAAAGCAGAATTTCCAGAGCATCTTTATAACTAATGAGAAAATACAATATCAGATATAGATATAGACTGTTACAAGAATACAAATAATACATAATCCTAACCCATCTTCACCAATTATTAAAACTTGAAAGTTTCAAACATCTGTTGATATGCTGAACGTCACAGCTGTTGAATACTCTAGTATTTTAAAACCTGACTTATGAAAGCTTGGTATCTGTTCATAAAAAGACATTTCAGTGAATCAGGGTGTTTAGAAGGTGTTACTTGTCTTGCTTTGGATACTCCGAAACATTTCCAGGATATATACCCAAATTCTTGGCCTGAACTATTTTTGATGAAGACAGAGTCAGTAATCTCTCCTCTTATAACATCTAAATTAGGTTACTATAAATCATGGATTTGTGACAAATGAGATAAACATTCCCAAAATACCCTTTGGCAAAATGCTTTTGGACTGCAATTTTGCCAGATTTTTATTTGTCTGCAAAATTGTCAGTCTATAATATACAGAAGCATCATTTAGGTTCTGTCATACTGCAGAAAAATACTTTGGTGTGTAGCTCTTCATATTTGTATAGGTTATGCATGTCAGTGAGTATTAACTTCTTTTTATTTGGACTTATGAACTGCAATGCAGACAACTCTTAAAAATCTGTGGGTTTTAGTACAGTGTTTCTGGAGCTTTTAATTCTGTCATCTGCAAGATAGGCAACAGAATTCTGTAATTCCCCCCTTCAAATTATAGCTGCCCAAATTTAAAGACTTTTTTACAAGTTAAGATTACTAGCTTGGATTTATTTCTACACACAGTATTTATCTAATTCCACAAAACATGATAAAACAATTGAAAAGCTGCAGTTAGTTTCTGGAGTTGAATTTAACATGTCCTATTACTTTATTGCAAGGACACCACAACTCCCAGTGGAGCCATGCTACTGGTAAGAACTATCTAATAAGCAGGACTCCCAAATTGGCTTGGACTGCAAAACCCAATATTAAAAACTGTTTTCACTTCTATGTGCTGAAGCTTGCAAGATTTTATAAGCCAAATATAAATTATTTCAGACAAACAAAAAGCAAATTGTTAACGGTGAACTTCATTTTTATTTTTATAAGGCAGAGCAGAAAAGAGCAAGTGATGTTAATCTGAGGAATAATTCCATAGTGTGTCAGAAGTATGATTTCTGTTAGAAATGCATAAATTATGCCATGCAGTGCTTACAAATTAACAAAAAAAGTATTATAAAAGTGAAGCCCTGCTGTGTCAAATATGCCACACAATTTTTGTTCTAATAACAGCAATTGAGGTTAGGGCGTGACTTTTCTCTGATATAGCTGTGCTAGTACAACCCCTAGTGTGGACAGAGTTTACTACCGTGAAGGCATTATATTCATATAATTTCTAAACCTTGTTCCTAAGCAGTAAAAGTATTAAGTAATGCAATGTTATTTCAGCACAGCTACATCCACAATGGGAGGGCTGACAGAGAGAAAAAGAAAGGGCGGTAGGTTATGCTACTTTACAACATATCGGGCCAGATGAACAGATGTGGGTTTTGTGTAGAGAAACTGTGTGGTTCATGTCTTTCCCCCCACCTACCTCCGTAATCCTGATGTTAATCAGGATCATGATGGATGATATTAGAAAACAGTTATTCAATTTAAATGGTAACATTGCTCATTGCTTCTTAATTTTTAAGAAATATTCATCTAAAATGTTAATAACAGAGAGTTATAACAGATATTGACACATGGGTATTAGTCCTAAGCAAACAATAAATACAGGGAAAAATATATTAGGGTAAAAGGGAGTAAGACCAAAAATAGATATTTGCTTTAGGCTTCCTAAACAATATAAGTTCAAATTTGAATAAGATTTATAAATAGCAGCATATGATAAATACCAACCTGTATTTACTTGACATACAGATATATGTATCTGGTGATCCTAAACTGCACACATGGAGCTTTCTGCCTATTCTGACACAACTGAATAATTTTAATCCTTTTTTAAACATCACTCCATGTAAACTAAAAAATATCTTCAAAACCGAAATTTATCCACAGCACAATTAAAATTACAATTATACCTCAAGAAACAGTAAATTTGCTCTCAATATGATAAAGGGCTATCCAAAACATGATCCTTTGCTTTTAAAAGAGAAAAAAAAAAATCATTTAATACAGAATAGCATGAAAATACTCATACATTATTGTCTCTCTACTTAAAAAAAAATAAATACGTATTTATTATGAACAGATGGTGGCCAAGGAAGGTATCAGCTCTGTCTCTTAGCCAGAAGGTCAGGTCATGGCTGAGAGACCAAAGAACAATTATTATTTGCTATTCAGTGCCACATAAGATAAAACATTCCAGGTTTTCTTTAAATACGAAGATAGATGCAATTCAACTGCTTTAATTTTTTACAAATGAAATAATTTGCAATAACTTATTAACATTAGTTAAAATTTTATTTAAAAATCCCCAGCCAACAAGAAACAACAGAACAAGGCACTCTAACACTCTTCTTGGGCTGCTTTTAACATGTTAAAGAATCCTAGGACCTATACAGAACTTTTTGGGTTACTGGAGTCACAGCTATAAAACAGCTGCTAGATACTGAGTATGAGAATTTCAAAATTGTTTGTTTTCCTTTTTTTTTGAGGAACCAACAATCATATTTGAACAATATAATAGCATAATTACTTAATATCTAATCTTTATCTAATTATCTATTATTTTTCTCTGATAGGAACTCTCTCTCACATCCTTTCACTTTGTATCAAATTATAAATCACCACATTTCAGTGTATTTAGCCCCACACTGATTAAAATACCAGTATGTCATCACGTGAGGTTAAAATGTTTTGTTAAATTTTGCAATTTGTTCAAAAGGCAATCCTCAAGCAAGTTGGAGAACAGGATTTAAAATCCAAGATACTTCTTCAAGTATCTTATTAAACACATCTTGTTTTATTTGTATGCCAAGATTATGCCAACTCTTTTATCTGTGATATCTGTCAAGATACAGATGACAAGCCTGTTTTTTGTTTTTCACTGTCCTTAGGCCTAAAGGATGCAGGAGTGAAAAGAAAAGCAAACTTTGAAAAAAAGAATGCTTTAAGACCTCTGTTCTTCTGTGCTGTATGATTTTTCTATACATGTTGAAGGGCTATTTCAGCTAATAAACTCCTCCTTTGCATATATGTTCATTATAACTTGAATTTATTATTATTTATTATTGCTTCTAGACTAAGCTTGTACTATTAAGTTAATAAACTTACTGTCCTGTGCAGTTTTTGAGGAACTGGTAATTAAAAATTTAATTTTTTTAATATTTCATTTTCCCCCTACATATATTCTTATACAGGGAATGATTTATTCAGTTATTTAAAAGAAAAAGAATGGTTCAAAACCTGTTGGATAAGCTGCTCAAATAGAATCATCCTCGTGTGCCTCTAATATATCTCTGTATTCAGAAGACTCTTATGTGCAAATCACAACTTAAGAAGGAATACTGAAAGTTTGAAGTCCTAGAGAAAAATGGATAGAACCTCAAGAAAAAGGGCACTTCAAAAGATGCAGATTACACCTGTTCAAGCTGTTTGCCAAGTACATTGCAGGTTACTCTAATAATCTTTCTTACTGCATGGGATGTTTTCTCACAGACTACCTGTAAGGAATATACTGGTTTTTGTATTAATATAAAACCCAGTTTTAAATAACCAACAGTTAATGCCAAGTGGATTTTTTCCTATAGTTATTTTTTTCTAGAAGGTTACTTTTGTTTCGGTTTTGTTTTTTTAAACTTTTCTATGAATCTCAGCATTCAGTAACATTGAATCTTTAAAGAAATTGGAAGATAAATGATTTTCATTTTTGGTATCATTAGGCTATGCTTAGAGTATTTAATGTTCTGTTATGCTGCATATATAGGTGATTATGTGTGGATTTATTTGTGAGAAAAAAGTGTATAAACACATGTATACAGTACATAGAATTTAAGTAGCTGGTATGAATAATATGATAGAGTAATTCTATATGAAAGCATGGAATGAGTGATACGCAAAACTGAACATACTAGGGCTGAAAACAAGATTAAGATAACCAAGAGGTATTTATTTAGCAGTAAAAGCTGGCTTTTTGCCATCAATTTAAACCATTTAACAGCAATAAATGACCACTATTAGAAAAATGAATCATTCCAGCTTCTGAAAAAACCCTACTTAGGCTACTAATAACTGCAAAGTCATAGCAGTATTTTCTCTTACCTGGTCCTTAATTTCAAGCTCCCTTATAGTTTTTGTTCTGTACTCTCTGAGCTCCTTTTCTGCCTCATCCTTCTTCATTTTGGTTTGATTCAACTGATAGCGCATTTCTCCACACACCTGTTAGATTACACAGACAACATGATCTGTTATCTTGGAGAATCCATAGACCAGGGTTTCCAATTAGATCTTTTGGTGCCCTCTACAGGTCACTGACATGCAACATATTTTTAATTTACAGATATTTTAGGTCTACAAATGGTAAATGTTTTTATATGGAAAGGTGGATCTGAATTCTATATACAGTCATTAACTTTGACATATTCAGTACTTTCTAGATTCAAATATATTTGGATCAAGATTTTGCTAAATATAAATGCTTATGTTGTAAATATATATCACTACAGTTAAATGACAGTTGCTGGTTTTATACTCTTCTCTCATTCTCTGTAAAATCCCAAGAAAGTCTATGTCAACACTTTCAAAACCTAGAAGAAAGGATCTATCACACTCCTAAATAAAGGTGTATTTTAGCTTGCCAATTTTACAATGCTGAGAAAGAAATTGTTTAAATGTTAACACAGTAATTTTCAAAGTTTGATCACAGCATTACAAACTTACTGCAAACTGAAGATCAATTCTTTAAAAGAAAAAAAGTCTATTTAGATAGATACATGGTCCAGAAGAAATGGATAAAAGCAACATTTCAGGAAATCACTTCACAGGATATTACACAGGACAATTATTCTCTGCTGTTGAGAGTGTTTGCTCTATTACCTCCTCAATCCTTTCCATCTGGCAGCTCAACTTCAGAGGATGTATGAAGGGGTTAGGAAAAAGTGAAAGAAATTAAAAAAAAACAAAACAAAACCAGAAGATCACTAATCACTTTCACATAACTTTACTGCTGTGCAGGGTTGTTATTCTTCCAATTTCCAGTCTAAGCAGTCCCCTTTTTGTTCTTATCCTGTGCCATCACCTCCAATTTGTGCGTGTTCATTTCACCTTAATTAACTAACCATACACATGCATATTCCTTAGTGAGAAAAAAAAGTAAAAAAGTGCTTACTCACATCTCCACTTAGTCAACTTTCTTTCCAACTCGCTCTACTTTCCTGCCTTGCTTGTATTCTTTCAGCACTTGCTCCTTAAATGTACACCCTTTTAATTTGCTGCTACAAATCCTCTGTGCTTCTCAAAAACATTCTCACATATTCTACAACCCAAACTAATTTCTGTTTTTCAGTCTTATATCTCTTCTCCTTTTCACTTTTTTTTTTTCTCCTTTTAAAAAAGGTAGGGAAAAACAAATATGCATACTGCAATGAAATCACTTTAGGAAAAAACTAAACCAACTGTCATAACTTCTAATAAGCAGCATCACTTATCAATTTAAAGAACAGCTTGTGAATTTAGCCATTGCAAATAATGCAAAGCAGCAAATGCTCTAAATAAAGGAGAAGTTCTTAGCATTATTTTAAATACTGAAGTATTATATGCAACTAAAAAAAATCTCGAGATGCAACGGCATAGCTTGCAAACCCTGGATTTTACCTCCTTCTTCCTTTATCTGAAGGATGTAATAAAATGCAGTAAGTCACTTCCTCCAAGTGAAATTAAAAAAATACAGCAATCCTTGCCTTCAGCTCCTCCACACACTGTACAAAGGGAATAACACAGAAGATTCAGCAGATGGTGCTGTCCTAATAATGGATTTTTCAGTCTCCTCAAGAATGAAGGATATAGATGCTCACTCCATATTTTCTTTCCCTGACTTCTGGTGCATGAAGAAAAATAATATTTTGGATAAAACTCAAAACAAAAATGTTGCTATTTGCTGTTTTTAATAATGGCAAACAGTCTGGAAACAAGTCAGATTCACAAGCAAAGATGTCACTAGCCAATGAAAATGTCAGGGTGATGCACATAGTCCTGTCAGCTCAGTGATTGGGAGGTTCCGCCAGGATTTTCAAGACTTCTCAGTTTAGTACAGGGACACAAATGAAGTTTTCCAATCTCTCAAGATTAGTGCAAATTAACAGACTATTGCAAAGTGACCACCTATTCACCTTTGTTTTAACATGAACTGAAGCAGGGACTGGAACCACAGTATCATGTCCAGAGAGGTAACTTCAAATTAGTAGGGTACAAAATAGTTATTTTCAGACCTATGAATATTTGTACCTACTGCCTCTTTCACCACCTCCTCACCCCTGTAAGCGGTGCTAGTCATTTGTGAACCCAGCCTGAAAGACCAAAAGTGTGTTTCAGAATTGGTAAATCAAACCACTCTGACATTTTTAAAATACTAATTTGTCTTTCAGTTAAAATAAAGTCTCTAGTAAGTTGATGTTTTTGCTGTGAATTTTCTGCAATACTTTTGTCTCTTTCTATTAGCCAAGGCAGCAGGGGAAGACAGGAACTGTTGAAAACCTTTACTGAAATCTCTAGAGGCCCAAAGAATAAATTGCTCCTCCAATTCTTGCAGTTAACAACTGGGGAGGTAGGATGGGCCTTGAGATGTCTATATTCCTTACCAATAATCCCAAAAGGCTGTAACATTTTTTTTTTCTTTTTGATGTTATGATGCCCATTAAGGCTCTACTAGATTGAGAAATGTGCAAAAGAAAGCACCCAAGAGTGATACACCTACACAAGATGTGTAGAAGTGCAGAAGATGCATGTTAAACTGTAATTCTTAACTATAAGATGCCTTTGTAAGAGGCGCACTATCAAAAGTACTGAATTAAGCAGTATACTACATAAAAAGTTTAAAGGAAAGAACTTAAACAGTGATTTGATATACCTCCCTTTATTTTAGCACTGCAAGTCACACAGGTAGCAATTAAGGACACTGTTGAATTCTCAGTTGTCTCACTCAGACCAAACTCAATTCCTTACTGAATTAGGATAGTGTTTTAAATAGTGATCTTCATAGGCTGCAAAGTAGGAAAGCTAGCTTCTGCATGACAAGGTGATTTGTAAACGGGAAAAGTTATTTTTTTACTCCTGCAGTTGCGATAGTGCCTACAGGATACTGAGATGGAGTCTACAGTTACCACACACAAAACAGAGGAAAATGGACAAGATAAAAATTCTCTTCTTGCAGGTCATAATGATAAGGAAAACCAAGCTCAATACTCCTTTATAAATGTGCTTACTTTATTCATCTCCATTTCATGAGATGCAAGCTGGCACTGTGATTCTTCTAACCGGCTAACCAGAGAATTCTTTTCCCTTGTAATTCTCTCTAGTTGAGCCTCCAAAACAGCCACATCCTTAGACAAAGCTGTCACCTGAAAAAGTCCAAGAACACTGAAATGATGCAATTTTACCAGCCACAGATCAATCTCTTGTGGATTGAACCTTCTCCTCAAAAGCAACTGTATGTAGACAAAATACATACCATTAAAAATGTAATAAAAAAATCAAGCATGTAGAATAAAAACATCCCATATTATTAATAATAGAATATGGCTGCATTATTTTATTAATGTGTTCACTATTTTAAATTTATTTTTGATACAGTAGGTTATTTGCAACTATTCATTGACTGCACTAGTCTCCAGGACTTGTTAATATGGACAAGGTGTCAGAAGTAGCTGGCTACATTAGTTTTGCAATGTAAGATTACTATTTAACACCACCTTATCCATCCTTATGTTGATTGATTCAAACCAAATCATGTTCTCCCAGCTAAAGAAAACTGTTGTTCCAACCACAGATCTTAAATTAATTTTCAAGTTCAGAAAATATTTCAACACTATAGATCAAAGCATACTGTTGTGCAAAACTCATATAGAAATACTATATTAAAAATTCTAATGTAATTCAGATGAAATTTTGCTGAATGATTAAAAAATGTAACAATAAAACAGAGACAGTGAACCTTCAGCTATTTAGCCCTGAAGCTTACTAATATAAGTGGAAATAATGGTGTCTGACAGTTCTAGGTTAACTTCCAGAAATTCAAAGCCAAACCTAGAGGATTATATATTCATAACTACTTTTCACGCCTTTTATACATCCACCTGATTTATGTATCATGACAATTCTCCCCTTTAAACAAACCATTTCATGAAGTATGCAATAAAATAGTCAGATGAATCTTGATCCACAGTATACCATTTCTACCACCTCATAATCCTAAAACATAAAATTAGTTAATCATATGAAGGTGTAAATCATTAACATAGGTCATAATTTTCTACAAAGTCATCCCATATCTTTAATTACCAGGCCTGACATCATCATAGTGTCACTATATGTTGTTTAATGTATATGCAGGATTTAAAAAAAGACTACAACTACTTCAAGTGGGAACTGGTTCCAATAAAACACATCACAGTAGGTGATGAAATACAATCTAATGTGATGACACAGACTGAAATATTCTACCAAAAAGAAGTATGAAATGCTTGTCTAATAGACTGTATTTTGGGAGTGAATATACTGCTTTAAAGCAACTCTAACAGAAAAAACCCTAACTTAATAAAAGGTATAACTTCTAATAGATAGCAAGGAGTCAAATAATTATTAAGTCAATTTCTTAATAATGTCTCCAGTGGAAGGTTAATTTTTTAATTTCAGTTTCCATGGCAACAGATCACTGATGATCAGTTCATGTACCTAAATATCAGTCCCTATCACTGTGCTTAATACCTGGTTTTGTATCTGGAATTGGAGTCAAAGGCGTTTTTTAATACACACTTAAATGGTTTATTTTGCTCAGTCTGTGCTCTCCAGATTTTTAGAAATAAGTCATACAACTTAGTCCCAAAATACAAGAAAAAGTCTACAATCAGGAGAGAAATTCACTCTATTATAGTTTCCAAGCTCCACCAGAAATGGTTGAAGACACTGCAGATCAAACAAGCATGAAAAACACTAAATCATGAAGCATTTATCTATCTACATTTCTTCCAATTTCAATCACCTTAGAAATGCCCCCTCAATGATGGCCTTACTGCCGTTAGCTTGAGCTTTCCTTTGTAGACTCCATTAGGGAGAAAACCCTCATGTTTTATACTCAAATTACAGCAGGATCTAGAAGTCTAAAACAAGGTTATCAAGACTATCACAATGGTTGCAGCATAAACGATGAGACAGATTCTGTCTCAGAGAGTTTATAAACATTAGTGAAAGTGAGAAAAGAGATTCCAACACATTTCTGCAGGTGGGAAAACTAAACATATGATAAGATCACTTTGAAATTAGGATATTGTAACATTAATGTATATAGAAGATCAAAGTAGCAAAGAACCCTAGATTTGATGTGCTAACTTCTGAATGCTTGCCTTGGCAAACTAAATAATTTTTCTAAAAGAGCTAGGTACAAACTTTGCATCACATTTTACTTAATCCTTTCTTATGCTGACACAGTGCATTAAAAATATGCAAACTAAAATAAAGTGCATTACATCAACAACCTCATATGAATCTAGTGACATAGCACAAAACTCAGTTATTCAAACTCAAAGGATCACTTATCTACCACTGCTCTAAAGAAATGGTAGAAGTGACAAGCAAATGAAGTTTAAAGAGGATGATATGCTCATTGTAATACACAAACAGAAAAAGAACCAACTCATACCATTGCAGCCAAGTCCTCCCTTTCCTTCTTCATTTCTCGCCGCAGTGCTTCTTTTTCATCAGCCCTCTTATTCGCCTGGGCAGCCAGCTCCTTTTCAAGATAATTCTTCTGTCGTTCCATCTCACTTTTCAGTTGCTCACAGTGGATGAGAGCCTAAAAAACCCCAATTTGCTTAAATTAGAGAAACCTAACATTTTTAAACAATCGTGGTATTTATCTAGTACTGTCAAATAAACCAGTTTGCTATTAGAAATGTCATTTTTTTAAATGCAGTTATTATGATGTTTATACATATCCTACTGTATTAACATCTAGAATAGGACTAGCAAAATGAAAACAGATGTATATGTTTGTAGGTATATACATGCCTTACTGTAACTGAGAAATTTAATTGCTTTTAGGAATCATGGCAAAGATGGAAGTATTTTTCCATGTGTACTTTCCAAATAAGTAGATGTTCTTCTAAAACTGTGATTATTTGCCTTCCATTTAAAATTTGAAATTCCTGAATGCACATCACTAGAATCAGCCTCCAAAATCTGACTCCTTGCAAATACAGTGGTTACCATCTAACTAAAGAACTGAAGGAAAAATCAATAAAATGTATGCACTTCTACTTTGTCTCCTCCTAAAGTGAATTAATGAGTGCAGAATGCTAAGAAACCTGAAAGTAATCAGTAAAGATAAAAAAAAAAAAAGTTTGAGAAATAAGTTTCAGGTTTGTCAAAAATTAATTCTACTAAATACCTCATAAAGTACTACTTAATTTCAGGTGCTAAAACACAGGGTTATAGATGGGTTTTCTATCAAAAAAGAAGAAACAAGTTCAAGAACAATCTAAAAAAACTGTCTTCACTACCTTCTAAAAATGCTGGGGAAAAAAGAAGATATTTATCCATTTATAGTGCTGTGTCTCTGACAAAGTGCAGAATTTCAGTGTTATATCAGTTTAAATCAGAAATACACTACTCTATTACAAGTAAATCCAAGTATTCAAAGCACCCTGAAGGGAGCTTTGATAGCCTATGAGTAATCTCAATTTAAGTTCAACATTTCACTGATATCCAGCATATTCTGTTTCAAAGAAGCTAGAGTAACCTCCCCTTAGGAATTCTAACTTATTATCCTTTTTTTCCTTTTTTTTTTTTAACTGCTTATTTTTCTTTTACTCAAAGTCTGTGTTCAATTTTTTTTGGGTTTGGACTGTTCATGATGGGAGCAAGTGAAACCATGTTTTTTTTTAGAGAATGCTCTAACAGTCTCCATTAATTTTATGCCAATTCTGTGGGACCCTCTTCAGGGTTCCCTTTCCTATCACAAGTCAACCGTGGTGAAAGAATCCCTCTGTTATGGCATTAAATCCTTTTCTGTAGGAAAGAATCATCAACTTCAGTAAACAATTGCCTGCATGAAACTGTGTAGCTTGGTAGACATCTAAACGAATGCCACTCTAGAAGGAAGTAGTTGCATTAGTTGCATTTCAAGAAGAAATGTGTATTTTGTTAGCTCCACTGTTCTGACTACACAATGAACATTTCAAAAAATTATTCTTTTATGACATTTGTGTCAAAAATATATTCCTGATTTTGCTTCAGCTATGTAAACTTAAACATAACAGATCTCCTTCCTGCTCTATGCAATAAGCAAGAAGCTACAAACTACAGAGACAACCAAAAGACAAGAAGAAACAGTAGTTTTAAATAATAAGCACCTGAGGTTAGACTTTGGTCAACAGGCTGATGAAATTTCATTTACAGTATTTGAAAGCTTAATGTGTTGACTTCTCACTTTTGTTACATGGACTGTTCTATGGGATTCCATGCTAGTTATCAAGAAAGACAGCACTTAAGAGTAGAATAGGACTAGAGAAAAAAAGGATGGTTTGTACTTACCAAGAGGCATACCAGTACTCGTAAAAAGGCAAAATTAATGCAGTATAAGTAAAGACATTTTTTTCCAGTTCCTTCATATTAAAACAGTTTTGGAGCATGAAAAAACCTCAGATTCAGCCTTGTAGACAAACAGGTAGCACTTCACACAACCACAAGCACACACTTCTCTCTTACAGCACTGGATAAATGGCACTGATTTTATCAATAGAACAATTACATCAATCTTGTTTGCATTCAATTACAAAAAACCAAACCAAAGCAACCCCCACTCAATTCCATAGTAATTCACTAATAGTACAGTAGATGTCACTAACTATCAGGAAATAATTTAGGTCAATATAGGTTGACTGTGTAAAGAACTAGGGCTAACACAAGCATTACATCAAAACTGGTTTTATCGTTATTATTTACTTAACAGCAGGAGCTTCCCGCAGGTAGCATTAGATAAGACTTCTCATCTTCAAAGACCTCTGAGAGTCAATCAGTTCTTACACTGCTCTCATCTGAGGCAAAAAAGAATTGTTTGTAAGCATATTGACTATTCTTTCCAGAGTAGGTCAGAAATGTGATGTCAAAATTATCCTCATGAATATCTTTGAAAATTCTACAACTCTGTTTGTATCACCTAGCTGTGAAACTACCTCAATTAAAAAAAGGAGCGCTCCTCATAGTATTGATGAGTATGAATATGTGTATGTGAATACAGAATTCATATTACTGCTCATAAACAGTCATATGATGCAGTTGTTTTCAATCTACACCATATCAACATAGGACAAAGATCTTAAGCATGTATTCTCTCATTAGCATGAAAACTAATTTACATTTGCATTAGATCTGAACACTAAAAAGCTCTGATTTTGTGATGGACTTACCTTTGTTTTTTCAAAATTGGCCTCTTCTGCCATTTGCACAGCATGTTCAACTTGCTTACAAGCATTAGATTCTCTTTCCTGCATCTCTTTCATGCTTTGTCTCACTGAAAGAAGTGCATCCATCAAGTCATCTCTTTCTCTGCATATTAAAAGAAACAACACAGATACTTCTTCTATATCTTATTGTAAGAGAAAAAAACCCCAAACTGAAATACCAAATATAAAATATAAACAGATTAGAGAGACTTAAGGCTGGTAAGCAAAGCAATACTAAAACTCATGCATGAAAGACATCATATTGTAAGCTTGGTAGATAACGAAAATATAATTTTCTTGACAACCAGTCCTTCAATGGTCTATTTCAGAAGGATGGACCATTAGAAAAACTGCCAGTAAAGAGAGCAGATCTCAAGTCATTGATGTACAGAAACCAACCACATTCTGTTGACAAATGGGGATCCATGCAAATAAAAAAAAGGCAATATGGAATTACACTGTCATTAAATGTAAACAAGGGAAAAAAATAATAAAAAGGAAGGGTTAGGATCAACAAGTAATTGCTAAGTATATCAAATGACAATCTAAATGCATTTGCTGCAAACTGGAACTAAGACAAACAATAGGACACCTGGATTCTACAACTCTTCTGAACTTTTGTTAACAAAGGCACTAAAATCTGTACTAAATGGTAAAGCAGATTTGGTAAAACTGTGATACTTAACTTCACCTTTACATTATCTTGATCTGTTAAAATCTTTTAAATTAAGTTTAGTTGTCTGTGGTTTAGGTGCAGCTCAAGATTCTGGCTGAAAACTCTTGTGCTCTTAATGTTGTGTGAAATGGTAACACAGTTTTTGTATTTGCCAGACACCTAACAGTCACACTTTGAAATTTCATTTCATTTCTGGATTGGATAAAGTTCCTTTGAAAATTCCTACTAAAATAGCCTTGTTTTTAATAAACTGCACCACAAGTAGAGGTAGCTTTTAGATTTTTTTAAACCTCCAAATAAGGTTTAAGATAGATAAAGAGGTCAGTTCAAATCTTTTATTTCAAGCTCACTGTAATATAAGAGGACAAGAATACAGATTTACATTTTGTTCATCTTTTCCAACATCTGTGACAAATAATTACTTTTGTTACAAAAGCAATTTTGAAACATGACTTCTCAGCAATAGAGCTTGGCCAGAAAATTTTTGGACTTGATAATAGAAAAAATACATAAATCCTGGCAATAACCATCTAGTGCAGAGGGATTGTGCCCATTTGACCAAGTACATATATGTTCTATGTCCCTTTGGTCTCTTACATATATTCAGCCTGTGCAGCTGTGATTTTAAAAACTATTTAAATAAAAGCTAGAATTAAAATAAAAAAGAAAAATAAAGATTGCAACAAATAATTTAATTTATTTTTATACAGTGGAACTTTCTTTCCCTGTCTTACTGTAGTCATGGAGGAACTACTACAGGTGTTTTGGGTAGGAAATGCATCTTACCTCAAGCACGCAACCTATTGTGGATGTATCTGAAAAGTTCCCCATATGTAAGGAGAATAAAGTGGAGGCAGAAAAACTTCCAACTAGGGAATTATAATAAACTTTTGCAAGAAATAATCAAAATGCACAGACTTGCACAATATTTGTGCTGACAGAGTGACTTGTTTGTACAAAAAAGTGCAGGAAACAGACTGTAAATAGTCTAATTATCTGGTCAGCCCAAGGTATCATAAATACATGATAACAACTAAAATTCTTTCCCATTTGAAATAAGTAGCAAAGCTTTGAAATTGTGGATTTCAAAGTGGTTGTGACCTACATTCACTGATTTCAGCATTATGATTCCAGCTTGGGAGTGCATTGTAAATGGACATCTCTCTATGAATGTAACCCAAGACACTGAGATTTAAATGGTTTAATGCAAGCAGCCATACTTGCAGTCACAAAGGACACACCCCCCCAGCCTACCTTGTCAGCCTCTCGATGGTCTGCACATGAACGTTACAGTGAGTCTGTGCAAGAACAGCCTCGTGCTGGGCACAGTTCAGGCACAGACCACCAACCTGGCTACAATTTCTGACTGAAAACAGCGACTTCTGGTGTTTCAGCCTTCCTTCCAAATCTTTGCATGTCTTCTGAGATTCCGAAAGGTCTTTTCTAGAAAGAAGAAATGAAAAATATTGTTTATGAAATTACGTATTTCCACAAGTCATACCCATATACAATTCATAACTACAAATGTAGCCTAAAAAGAACTGTAAGAATCCTTGTAATGAATCCTTGTAATACTTTACACGTTTCAACAGGCTACGGAAGACTTTAACAGAGAGGTAACAGTTGAACTGCCCAATCAAAATTATTAATAGACAAATCAATACTGTGTTAATTTGTTTCTTCCCCCACATTATCAGAAAATATCAAAGATAAACAGAAAATGTATAGATAAAAAACTTGTAAGCTTACATTTTGTCTGAAGAGAGTATAATATTCATTAGCAAAAACCACTATCAGCTGTATAAATATTTCAATACTCTAACAATTTTCTGTTGTTTCTATTAAAAATATAACTAATTCATATTTATTCTCTACTTCCTAAACAAGAATCCAGATATATCGAGCACATTCACTCAGATCCAGCAATATACACAACTTGAGGTCAAACACATGCAGAAAAGCAGGCTAAAATTTTTACTTGTCTCAAAAATTCTTACTAGGTGCTCTGAAGAATTTTCTTCAGAATTCCCAAGCATGTGTCAGGCTGGGGAGATCACAAGCAATAGGAATGTTAACATCAGGAAGTTCCAGACAAATGCACACTGTGCACATAAAGATCAATTTGACAAACTATGCAATGAATCCAAAGCTTTGGGTTTGTTATGCAGGCCATCTGGGCAGCACACACATAGGAAGTCTGACACATTCTGGTTGCATTGGATTTACTGTGCACATGATATATACACTGCATGCATTCTTATTTCCATCTGGAAAATCTTCTGTGCACTTTTTCCAATTTTAGTACTTGGTCTATTACATATAATCTGTTATAACCTGAACAGAATTTGCTCAGCATATATCCCTAGACAGTTGTGGTGCAATAAACCTATTGTTGGAAAGTCATGGACAGAAATCAGCAAGTCCTGTGTACATTCATCCTTGAAGTTAAAAGGGAAGATAGTCCCACTAAAAATGATATAATTTCTCACTTCAATAAAATTTAGTTTTGCAGAACTTCCTGTTTGCAAGATCTTGCCTCTTAGGAGAAATCAGAGGCTGAATAATATATTTGAGGAACTTCTGAGAGAACTTTAGCCTCCAATAATTATTTCTGAGTAAATATAACACTTGAGGCCAAGGGGAAAAAAAAAATTGGATTACACAGCTGAAATTAAAGATCCTCCTTTACATTCAATAAAACAACCGGCTTTGCATGTTGCAATGTTTCACCAATGCAGAGAGCATTCTTTTAACTTGTCTCCCTACCAATAACTCTTTTCACACACAGAACAATCTGCATTGTCAAATATATGGAACCACGATTAAATAGTAGTAGAAAGTAGCTAATTATGGAAGTTGTCACACAATTTAAAATTGCAATTTCTCTTTTTTCTTCGAGTGGTCCAGATGACCTTTTTTGGGGAAAAGAGGGTAAAAACGATGTTTCATTGCTACTGTTTCAATAAAGTAGCAGTATATTCAATTTTGCTACAGTTATAATTGAAAGAACTTAATAGAAAAGCAGTTTTCAGGGGCACTATCAGAAGATACAACTTTCAGACATTCAGACATTGTCTTAGGTAAATTCAGATTAAGAACAGTTCATGCTGTTACGCAGTGACAATTTCTTAAGGATTATTTTAAGAAAAAAAAAAATCACTTTACCTTAGAGACTGTATTTGAGCATCAAGGATATTGACTTTTTCTTGATAAAAAAGTTTTAGATTCTCCTTTAGAAAAGATGAGAGAAAATATATGTCTTGCTTTCTTCATAACAGTCTTCACAAATAAACCTAGACTTTACCCACATTCTTTTCCCCTGAGGACATAAGCCTGTTGAAATACTAGTGGCAGAGAAACCTAAATATTTCACATTTCTGGAAGTCTAAAAAGTGAACAATCTTCCCATTTCTTGTTTCTAAATAAGGTTTTTTGCCAGATCCTCATATGGTAAATTGTTTCAATTCCAACTGCAGTCCTCAGTTCTCTACAGTGATTCACAGAAATTGATGATCATGTCTCAACTTTGCTCTTGCTCTCCCACAAGTCAGCAGACATTAATACAAAATTATTAAGAACTTCAAGTACACAGGCTATTTATTTATAATAATGTGTTTTACTCTGATTACCTGGTGAAGAATTAGGTATATGAATCAACCACATCCATCTTAAATACAATGGCGACAACAAACCAGATAAAGCACTACAAATTTAGCTCACTATGATGCTTTAAAAGAAGTTAGTCAACATGATTCTCCTGATTTTAACATGGCAGATGAAGAAAAGAGCAATTACTCTAAAAAATAGCTCCCAAACAACTGCAGGCATGAGTGACCATGGAGGTCTTCAGCTTTAAAATAATAGCACGAAAAAACCAAAACTGTATTTTCCCATGAAAAAAAAACCCAAACCCACTTCATAATTAAAGAATTAAAGTACTGTAGAAATTCCATAGTACACAAGTGCACATGGAAAAAATATATCAAAACTTTTCAATTACCCAAGTTTTTTCCCAAAAGATAGCAACACTACCCCACTACGTCAGAGCAAATGGAAAATTAATATCCTCTGAAACTAAAAATACAGGAAGAGACTACATCTTGAAAGATGATAATGTTGAGAGACAACATTAATTACTAAGACTCCTCTGTATCTCTAAAAGCATAAGGTGTGTAATTCAGTTAAGGGAGAGCAGACTGCACAAAACTACTTTTGTACCTTACTGAGCCTGTGATGCTCCAGGAGCAGAACAACTCATTATGAAAAGAGCTTGTGTGGAGGGCTACATAAATTACACTAGCTAGTTCCCACCTGCTTGGGCACTGTGTTACTCCTATGAATCTCTAAAGAGCAGTGGCATCATCTTTAAACAAGAATTATCTCTGGAAAGTCATCATCTGCAGCTACAACCTGCCATCCGTGTCTAACTGCACAATATTAATTAGGGTATAATGAGAAGATGAGGTTTAAAAGAATAAAATTTGAGCTCAGATTAAGGTTCAGTCAACTAAAAGTTCTGTGTCTGTTTCCAAGTTGATCATCAGAACTGGAAAAACAACAACACTGAACAGTTTTGCCAAGGTAGGACTCTGAAGAAATACCAACCAGTTCTACAGGCCATTTTGCTTTGTCTCCAGAAGCTGCTGTAACAAAAGCCTGATCTTTGTTATGTGCCGTTGATGAGGTGACAGGTTGGTGTGTGCTACAGTCTTTACCACCTACAGGCCAGGAGTTCTGAGTATTTGCCTAAAATAAAAGTATTAATGCTTCAGTTATGACTATGTAGGCTGTTTTTTAAAACAAATTTACTCACTTAAGTATTGAATCTTACAGAATTGTAGAATATAAGCACCAATAAACAAGTTAATTAGGCTAGCAACCTACAAAAATGATGTTACCCAAGGAAATCCATGTTTACAAATTCTCATTAAATTTTGACTAAAATTCTGTTTGTGGACAACCATATGTATACCCTTCCATAAAAATAATCTGGCCATATCCCTGAGCACTGATTAAAGCAACAAAAAATAAAAACTTACTGCAGTTAAGAATTTCAGCTTCTGATGGAGCTCCACATTTTCAAGTAAAACTGCCTGTTCTCGATCTTTCACCCCACACAACTCCTCCTATAGGATAAAGGAATTGCATTTAAAAGGCTCCTTAAGATGGCTATCAATATTGAAATGCATCTTGAGACCAAGAGTCTAGACTAACATTTTAAATACTTTAACCCTTTTAGAGAGACTAGGAATACTCAAAAGACAGATTTTGTATTTTTGCAGCTTAAGTTCCCATAAATCTTGTTTAAAAAAAAAATAAAGCTTATTTGTATTTGTGATAGGACGTAAAAATGTCTTTAAAGACCCTTAAACACCAGATACCAAGACACAAGGTAAGGAATCTACTGAACTGCATTTGGCTCAGTTTTGGTCATTAATTACAATGATCAACCTCAAATCTAAGTGTAATCTGCTTTTAATGCAGCTCTTCATATCTGCAGGACCAGGGTTTTAGTAGGTCAAATATGTTGACTGATACCTTATAAAACTTCACTTCTGCTTCCAAATGGTTAATGTACTGTGACTGATCATCAATTATAGGAACAAGATCAGAAAGGGCTGGTAAGTCTGCAGGTACAGCTTCTGGGGGTTTCTGAAGGAAGTAAAGAACAGCATGTGTTATATTCTGATTTTCCATTATTGCAGTAAGATGTTACTTGCAAACAGAATACAACTGATAGCTTTCTGGTAAGGCTTCAAAATGCACACAGAGTTGTTGATGGAGTCTTCTCACAAGAACAACAGGTACATTTCTAGCACTAGTTCACACTTCTGAAGGAAAACAAGTATCTTTATGCATAACCCTATTTTTGAAACTCACACAATTTTAACACCTATGATTTTGGGTTCAGAAACATACCTTTTTGTGCAAAAATATTCCATGATATACGTCTCAAATATAATTGCAGTCTAAAAAAGACCAAAGATTCAGAAACCCACATCCTTGTTTTTAAATATTACTTTTGAAATGTTCACCGTTCAAAAAAAAAAAAAAATACAAACAAAAAGCCCCAAAAACCCAAACAAAAACCCCACAAAGCAAAATAAAAAAAGGCAAACCAAGCTACTAATGGCTAGCTATTACATCTACTAATTATCTACAGGTTCTGCCAACAATGCATTAAAATTCCTTGTCCAATCCTTATAAAGGTATAATCCTTCAATTAGGATGAGGTAAAAGTTTCTAGCAACAAAATCCTTACAGTACAATTATAACAAATATAGATATTAGCCATTTTAAAGGTGGGGGCAACACTCTTGAGATATCTGGAACCAGGATTGCAGAGACAAGTGGAGGATATCCAGAACCATCTGAAAAAACATCCCTTTAGAGAAGGAATTCCAAATTTGCAACATATTCTGCCTGGCTTGGTAGACGTAAGCCCCATGTTCTATTGACTTAGAATTCACCTTGATTTAAATTCTTAAACCTAACTACTTAATAAATTTTAAAAAAGGAACCACACTCATTAAAGTATATATAATATAGCCTTAATAATATTTGTAAGTCATCTGTTTAGCTGGCTCCTATTCATCTGCCCCTCTTCTATCAAAGCATAATGAACATTTTGCAGCTGAGACCTCCAGCTGTCTCCCTGACAAGATTACACCACTGCAGTGTTAGAAAATGTGGGAAAACCCCATTTCTATTAAAATTATTTTTCACTGTTTTTCAGTTCCAAAGTTTAAACTGACAAAGATCACTGTAATGTAAACAATAATGCTAAGGAATTTTTCACTAAAAAGAAAATAACAGGTAGTATATTTTCTCAACACAAAGAACAGAGGACCTCTGTGACTTTTTTTTTACCTTTTTAACAACATAATTGTTATAAATTGATTATAAATTGTTTTGGGATTTTTAAAATTAATGTTCTCACAGTATAACGTATAACAGGGTGAAAAAACAGAGGTTGGAGAGGCATGCATTTAAATTAGTCCAAATATTAAAATCAGAACTGAAAGACACATCTGATCAGTGATGGTCATATCACATATGATAGTCATATCAGTATGAATAACCAAACAATTATGCATGTTTTCACATTCAAATACTTAATACTGAAAAGAATTTATAAAATATAAATGCTTAACAGCTTTAGAAGCCAGCATTCTACATGGTGACAAACAGTTTTGCTAACATCACAGATGATAAGGCCCTCCTTGTACTCTCCCAGATTGCCTCAAATTTCAAGCAACTAAATCACAGAATTAGAGAAAATTTGCTACCCTATAAACTGGCAGGAAACAATAGGAATCCATCACATCTCCAGCTATAACAACACTGTCAGGAACAGAGGCTGGGTGCAGCTAGGTTAGCCAAAACCCAACCTGCAGAACTACAGCTGTTACATGAAGCAATCTTGCTGGGCCTTGACCTCAGGTGATGAAGTGCAGAGCAAAAGGAAAATTTCTGCCCAGCCATCTGGGTGTAATCAAAGAAAGGATACACTCATTCGATGTCTATTGTAAGTTTAATCAATGGGCAAGAAAAGGGAATTTTGTTGCGACATTACTTATATGTATGAAGTGTGGTAGAGGTTACTGAAGACTATAGCTTTTGTGAAATATTGTATTTAGCTATAGATCCTGCAGTCATTTACTATTCAGCAGTCATCAGGTATTTCAGCATCACTCAAGGCAAAAGGTTTAGGCTACTCATAATCTAAGTACTCTTTCCTTGACCTTTGGGAAATTGGATTCTTCTTATACAAGAAGCATTTCTGCAGTGTCCAGTAAATCACCAGACAAGTTTGTGTTTTATGAGGGTTTGAGCCTTTTTTTGGGGTGTGTGCACTTTTGCAGTTCAGCATTTTTTTGAGCTTTACACATGGTCTGCCTTCAGAACACTTTCATATCCTCAAGCAGATGGAGAACAGCTGCAGAGCAGAAAGCCACCACTCCACAGAATGTCTCTCACTGGAAACTTCAAGAGGAAGAAATGGGACAATGCTGTACCAACACAGTAAATTCCCATTTTTTCTCTGTTTATTACTCCATCCTTTGATCCACTCCCTGAAAGCACTAAGTTTCTTAGACAAAAATATTAAATTTTCTAAATTTTCCACAGTACTAAAACTTATCAATATAAGTAGAAAACTTCACCAAAGATGGAATAAAAGATTCTGTCCTTCCCTTACAGATACTGTAAGATAAATACAAACTGATACTGATATGCCAAAGTCAACCAATGATGCATCAATCCCTTGAGCTACAAAGCACTAACTCTTTCCTATGACATTATGAGGCAAAATACCTGTCAGGACAACCATACTAAACACATGGATCTTGGAATACTCCAAAAAGTTAACTTTAAATAAAATTCCTTAACATCAGGACAGTAGAGCCATGCTCATTACGCAGGCTGAAGGCAACACAGCAGGAATACAGGCTTTAGATTATTCTGCTGTTAACTTTGACAGCAAAGAGCTGCTTGTCTCGCTTAGTATAAACCAAACATATTCAGTATAGGCCATCAGAAGATAAAACTGCAACAGTGCCCTTCAATTATTTTTCTATTCTATTTCTCTATAATCTCTATAGAGATTCTAGCAACCAGCAGCTGCTCTATATGCACTGAATGGTGCATCACACGTACTTTGGTGCAGCTCTACTTCAATGAAGCAGCATCTGAGAAGCCCTTGTAAGGGCATAAATAAAATTTAACAGAGACCACTACATTTTGGCAGAGAACTACAAAACCTGTTTTTGTATAAATGCCTCTAGCTCTTTCAAGAAGAAGCATAGTTAAAGCATAAGAAGGACACTGAGAATCCTTAAGGTACAGTCAAAGGAAAACAGAGGCTTCTTTTTCAGAAATTTTTCCTTGTTGTCTATCCCAAGTGTTTTCAAAACAAAAAATTTTGTTGACCACAATGCATGGTCAACAAAAAGAGAAGAAAAGTCTAAACCCTGTATTATAGATTCCTTTTTCTTCCATTATGGTTACAAGCATACCAAGTTCTGGCCATAGCCTCAGGAAGCTCCTGTATTTAAGACTGCAAAAATGATTCAATGCTTCTTTTTTTCTCGGTATAGTATAAAATCAACATGCATGCCATTTATTTAAACAACACAAATGAAACCAGAAGAAACTTACATGGAATGACTTCTTCCTTCTTGAGGGAGACTCTTCACTTTCCATTCTTTCTTGGTATTGCAACAAAATTTTAAGTTGGTTAACTAGGAAGAGATAAAAACCATTGTAACCAATAAATAATTACTTTTTTCATTTCATAATTTCTAACAATGTTTAAACCAGTTGCTTTCAGAGTAATCTTACCTGCTTGACTGTGCTGCAGCTCCTGACTGGCTGCATTCCCACAGTCATCACTGGCCCTGTCTGCATTGTCACTGCCCTCATCCACAGAGGACTGGTCAAATCCAGTGCCATCATCACCTCTTGCCATGACTTGTTTCAGTTGAGAGATGCTTTCACTGGCACGTTCTAAAAAAACCCCAACCACATCATTAGCCACAATAAACAACATAAAAGAAAGGATTTACTGACTGATATTTTAAATGGGAAAAAACATGAGAGAACTACAAGCATTCAGCATGTGTCTAGCTTGACTACTTGACCTAAACTCAGCCACTAAAAGCAATTATCCAATTCAAAAAGCTAAAAATAATTCCATATTTGCAAAATATTTACTAAATATTAATTTTTCAGAGAAGAGCTATACATAGCATCTTAGCCCCTCAGTACATTAGGACACTGCAGCAGCACAAGTAATAATACCCAAGTAATAATAAAACTTGACCCTAAAATATTTCCTAGCATATGCAACTTCCATACTTTTCAATGAACCTAAAGCTCATGCTACATTTTCTGCAATATGCAGGACTGGAAACCAAGAAAAATATTTCTGCATTTTAGCGAAGCCACCACACATTATAACAAAGCAATCTGTCATACAATGAAACGAATACCTGAGGAAATGAAGTAATAACTCAGCAAACCAAGCCATCATAAAACAGTTACTTAATAAAGACCAATGACTTCCGAACAAGTGTGAAAAATAAATAATAACATGCACTATTCTAGAAAAAGGACCCAAAAAATACAACAGAAAACCTCTATACAGATAAATATAAATATTTTCAAGAACTGACTTACTGAAAGATGATACAGTAAAGGTCTTATCTAATGTTCAATATATTTTTTCCTTATATTCCTTTCTTAATTTTTTTATTTGATTAAGCTGACTTGACAAAAACCATGAACATCAATCATAAATCATAAATGCTATATCACTCTGATAAAGCTGAACATGCAAAGAAAAGTTTGAGAGATTTGCAGCTAAGAGATGACAAGTAAATTGGAAATCACAAAATATAGGCTTAGTTTTAGATAAGGATACATCTAGTTTGCACCACTGGACCTTAGACAACTCACTTATTAATTCTTTTAGGTATAAATGCCCACAGAACAGCAATTTCACTCTTGTGAGCCAAGTTTATAAGGAAACATCTTCTATTGGAGTAACTGCTACAATTAGAAAATGGTAACATTTCCAACACACATCCTTACATAATTTTTACATGCTTGTAATTTCTAAATTGATATGATGCATAAATAACTAAAATATTTCTTGTCACTGGCAAAAAAATCTTCAAATAATAATCACTATTAAGCACTTTCTAGGTACAAGTCAGAAGACATGCCTTGGAGTATAGGTTGTTGTAAAAAAAGTTAATAACTCTTTTCTTTTAAATAGAAAGGTAAATAGCAGTTCAAGTCAGAAAACAAAAGCTAGATAAGTATTCCTGCCTTCACTTTATTTGTTTTTTCAAGTTCATATCATCTTGACTGAAGCTTGGAAATTGATTTTTCCAACTGTAATGGTTTTCAACATTTTTCCCATCTTCTCTACTTGGCTGTAACTTACCAACAGCTTATAAAATATCAATAACCCCCAAGAAAGCAATATATTTAAGAACACGTTCTCGGTCCAGTATGCCATCACTCTCTTTTTAGCAATGCTAGTTTTTAATAATAACCTGACCCACTTCTGACCTATTAATCTTCTCTCAGTGCTTACTTTTAAAAGCTTATGGTTTACACCATCATTTCTGGTTACTCCATCCTTTATTGAATTTAATGTAAAAGTAGACAAAAAGCCTATTTTAAATAGTCATAATGTAGTAAAACAAACCCAAATACCATTCACAAGGCAATGACTCAAAAAAGAAGGGTTTAGGTCAAATATTTCACTTTTGGCATACTTAGGCTCTTCATCCTTTCTTGAGCATTCCAGGATGCTATGAGAGCGGAAGAGCTAATTGAGAAATGGCAGAAGAATCTCACTTATGCAATGGCTTAGATATTTAGCAAACTATGTTGCAACCATTTGTTGCCAAGAAGTATTCAATTTCATTCAAGTTGTCATGTGGTGTGTCATCTGATAGCAATAAAGTTCCTTGATTTCCCTATTCCCTGTAGATGTCTGCCAGAGAACCCCGGAGTTCCAGTATTTGCATCCTAGCCAAGGGACAAACAACAAATAAAACCAAGAAAGAACCAACCAAGCCCATATACATATATATTAGTTTCCCCAGAACTTCTCTCTCTTTGTAGTACTACAGCTTTTGAACTCCAAGCTGTTACTACATCCACACAGGCAACCTAGACCTCCTTATGCTTTGCCCTCTTTTCCTATAAACATACAGGGCAGTAGTAGTGAAACACATAAAAACCATTATCAATGGCACACTGATGCTACTTCTTTTTTTTTGACAACACTTTCCCGCCTCTGAAATGTCACCACACTCTAGAAAGTGACATCAAGTATTTGTTTCTATTTCTTAAAAGCTTGCTTATTTCCAAATTACTAATATTGCTGTCACAGGTAAAACACTCACCACTGGGAAACTGGGAATTAGGAGGTCCCAGTGGTGTGGCTTTACATTCATCAGATATAAAACATCCAACACTTAGTTCAGTAAGAGTTGAACTGGATGCCTAAAAGGGAAAAAGTATATTACAGCATTTTTAATTTCCAAAGTAAGGAACATAATTTTGGGCATTAGGGTAAAAGACAATGCACCGAGTGGAAAGACTATGTTTGTTGTTTCTTGTAGTGTAAAAATATTCTTTTTAAATATGAAAGAAATTTTAAAAAACACTGTGGTTGCCAACTACAGGACAACAAAGAACATCTGCTTAGAGATAACATTATTACTTCCTTAATTAATTCAGAAGCCATTAATTTTTAAGCACACCCCCATTAAATCTAACTTTTTCAGTTACGCTACTCCTGTAATAGTACATTTTATAGAAACATGGTCTCAGGGAAAACATACTGCAAAAACTGCTCACATGCAGCACTATGATTTGCATATCAAAATCAATCAGCATCTTTCTTTCTGATGTCTTAATAAGACTCTACAAATAAAAACCAAACATGTATTCCTGTTCTATGATAAGACATCACTGATGTGCTATTTCCTATCAGAACACCTGAGGATATAATTGAAATTGGACTAACATGTATTGAAACTTCAAAAAATAATAATATTAAGCTCTTTGGTTTTCAGTGTTTAAAGGATCTGAGATGATTCTGAAAAATGACAAGGTAGTACCCAAATCTGATGGATCAAACTCAATACATTAAAAAAAAAAAAAATCAGTGTAAGAACAAGTTACCATTGAAGTCAAAACAGGAAAAAAAACTCAGAAAGCATTGAACAAGGTTAGCATTGCCTAAACAAGAGATTTTTTTTCAGGCACTGCACAGAACTCTTTAAAAAGTGTACGCCTTTAAATGAAAGCACCGAAGCTACCTCATTCATGGACTCCGAAATGCCATAGAAAATACTCTGTAAGCAAAAGAACCAATCATCCAAACAACAGATTTCAGCACAACTTTTACCAAGCTATCATCTTTAAAAGCACAGGGTTCTCTGAAGCTGCAGCAGTCATTGTCACAAGTTCCTAAAACAGCCCTTTCTGCAGAGAATAAAGCATTTGCATAAGCTCTAGAAAGTCTCACATGTGAAAACCTCATTTCCTAGTTCCTTTTGACAGCTTCTCCACCCTTAAAAAAATGTTTAATGTTCAGAAGAATACCTAGAAAGAAATGCCAAATAAAAATAAAAAGCCCAAGCAAAAAAAAATTTAGAATGTAATTCTAAGCTGCTTCAGTGTCATAGCTAACTTGTAGTGTTGGAAACTGGGCCACATACTTATTTTTCCTAAGATGGCTTTGACTTCCATCTCTCGTGTTTTATTTTTGGAACCACACAAAACAGCCACAAAATGAAACTTCATTTGTAGAAGTCTTATATTTTCACCTGTTTCTCTTAGAGTTTGCATCTCCATTCTCTGAAATTATGGAAGACACTGCACTCAGCAATGCAGTGGAATACAGAATGTAATTTCCGCAATATCCTAAGACAGACCTGAGATAGACAAGAGTATCAGGCTCAGTACCAAAAAGGATGGTTTGCCCTTCCTTTGCTCCTGCTCTTACACTGTCTCAACAGTGAGCCAGTGCTTTTTACTCAAGAGGCAGAAAACTCAACATCAAAAATAAGCTAATAGTTCTCTATCAAGAAACCAGAAATATATTAGAAGCAAAGAACTGGACTCTAAATTAGTCATCTGAGTTTACTGCTGTTAGGAGAAAAGGGGAAATTCACAGGAAGGCAACATGCTCTGCTCTTGGGAGTGGTGTAGTAGAAGGCCCATTGGACATTCACATTATGTATGCCTGTCAATTTTTAGTAATTAATATGAATACAGCAGCACACCACTTATTGGCCTTTACAAAATACTTCTACTCTCTTGAGAAGAATTTTTTATTAGAAATATTATCTCCTAAAGTTTTTAAGGTTCGTTTGAAATGGTCTCAATTATATGAAAGTTTAGGCAGTAACCCAATAACCCCAAGTGCACAAACACCACCCTCTTAACTTAGAGCTACATGTAGTATTAAAGACTTTCACTATACAAGGTCAGGAAAAGCTACATTATAGAACATTTTTTATTTTATCAAAGCCTCTCTGTTGGGCTGTAGTTAGGTCTTAATCAGGTTTTTTTGGCCCAGCTTTCTTCCCTCTGGCCACCAGACTCAGTTTACTGAACACTCAGGTGCTCTGTCTTCTGAGGGATTTGCCTTTGCAACAAAGGACGCTGCACCGAAATAACAAGTTACTCTTTGAGAACTTATCCACCCTTCCATTAAACTGAGTAAGACTGTAGTGGTTCTGCTATGCTGCTGTCCAGCATAGGTGGTGAAAACCTGTTGCCATGAGCTCAGCCTGTGTGCAGATAATGTCAAGCATTACAGCTAGGTTAAGACTGCTTTATTTCACAAACCTCAAATAATGCCCAAAGCATGCCACCTAAAATTGCAGAACCCAGATGACAGGAATGATCCCAATGGAGAGAAAAATCTCTAGCTGTATAGCTACTTAAGAAAAATAGGTAAAGCATTAGATCTGACAACTTTGAGAGTAATGATAACCTGTTTGTCCTACAGTGAATTCTTAACACCAGTAGTAATTATGTGGAAAATACTGTCCAGCTCAATGGAGTTAAAAATTGTACATCACTGAGAAATAGAATGGAACGTAGGTTATATTGCCCTGTGTTGGGGCTGTTTGTGCATCACCATATTGATTCTGACAGAGAGGCACCCTTGGATGTATGAAATCAAAACTAGCTTGGCATTGTATGGAAAAAAAAATCTTGCTTCCAAGAGTGTAAAGGGGAAATACTCCCCAGAAATTCGGGTTATGAAATTAATAAATATAATGGATCCAGCGTAAGGGGATCTAGTCAGAAAAAGGTAAAGTAGGTTGTACGAAGAGAATACATGTATCCGATGTGTCCATTAGCTAGGGTCAGCTCTAACAGTCTTACAGTTAAACAGCCCTAGTAATTGTCATCCTAACTGTTCTGCAGTAACAGTTAACTGAGAATGTCAAGTAGCATTACCATGTCCATCTCCTCTACAGGAAAAGTAAACAGAAGTTATTCCTCAAAGTTCTGTCTTCTGGAACAGAAGAAATCTATCGCTAATGTAAAGAACCGATGCCCTTTTGAGAAGGAAGTAAAAAGATACTTGCTGAGAATCAAGTAGCTATTTGAAAATGTTCCCATTGTTTTATCTTTCTTTCTATCATCTTTTTGGCAATGTTTCCTATCGCACAGGAAACATCCCAACAGGCCGTGTGGGGACGCTGTGCTCAGAACACAACTTTTTGCACCAATAGGTTCGCACACCCACACACTATCCATTGGCTCTCTTCAGAATACGGACATTTACTTTGCCCAGTCAGTCACTGACAGTCTGAAGACTGGTAAAGCCCAGGTGTCACGGCTGACAGATTCAGGTGCTCTTTGTCAGGCTTCTTGGACAAAGTGGCAGGCATGAGAACACTCGATGGAATGGGAAACAACCACTCTCATTAGAATCCATTCGTACCCTCATCTTTACCACGACTAGAATCCGATGTTTCAAGGACGGCCAAAACCCTCACACGAACCACAACCGCACCAGAACCGGCAGCCGTCCTGCCCTAGCCGAGTTACGGTGAGACGAACGCGTGTCACAACAAGAACGGCGCCTGCGATCAGGTGTGAGGAGAACCAGGCGCAACTTCTCCGCGCCCGTCCCAGCCCGGCCGGGGGCTCGGCGGGGCCGGGGCAGCCGGGCGCAGCGGAGCCCGCCCGCAGACCCGGGCGGCGGCTGGGGCGGCCCGCTCTCACCTCGCGCCAGTGCCGCTCACCTCGGAGGCGCCTCTGGTACCGCTCCAGGGACTCCTCCAGGGCGCGCACCCCGCGGGGCGCCCGCATCAGGACCCTGCTGGCTCCCGGGGAGCAGCCGGCGCTGTCCCCTGACACCGGGGGCTCCCCGCGGCGAGGCTGGGGGAGAAGTAGTTCCACCCGTTCTGCCTTCCCGCGTTGGGCTCTCGGAGGAGCCACCTGCGGGGATCCTCCGGCTCCCGATGGCCGCCCGTTGCCGCCGGCCGCCACAGCTAAGACTAGCAACGCCAGGAGTCCGTATGCTTCCCGATGGCGGGAATGCCGCCGCCAGGACTACAAGTCCCGGCATGTACCGCGCCGCCGGAGGCAGAGCCCCCGCCCACCCCCGACAACTGCGGGAGGGTGGTCGCCGCAACCCATCTCCCCTTTGTTGTTGATCGCGGCCGCAGTCGCGCCTGCGCACAGCACAGCCCGTCCGCCTACGCCCTCGGGCCTGCAGCGGGCTCAGCGCCGGTCCCGTCACGGCCTGGGCGGAACGGGGCGGGAAGCAGCGTTTACCTCCCGCCATCGCCCGCGCAGGGAGCGCCCGCAGCCCGGGGAGCGCTATTGTCTGAGTGCGGCGCAGGCGCAGCGCGGCCCCGCCGCCGCTCGGCCCCGGCGCGTGCGCAGTGCGGCGCGGTGCCGCGGTGCCGTTAGCCGCCGCTATGTGCAGGGAATAACGCCGGGGTCGTTGCCAGAGGGACACCGCGCGCTCCGCCCTCGCTCCCGCATCCCGCGGGATGCCGGCTCGCTGAGCACCCGCTAGCGACGGCCCCTCCCCGACACGGCGAGCCTCCTCGGAGGGGTGAGTGAGGATGATGCTGTCGCCGCCGCCCTGGTCTGCGGGTCGGGCGGGAGCCGTGGCGGGGAGAGGGGCCGCGGTGGCGCCGTGGGTCCGCCCGGTGTCTATTGTGTCAGGAGGTGCCCGCCCGCCGGGACGCGGGCGGGCTGCGGGCGGCGGAGGGGGAGGCAGCACGGTCTGGGCACAGCCCGCTCCCCCTCCCCCGTCTTCGCCGGGCCCGTAGCTTACTCCGCGCCCCCGCCTCCCTCTGCCCTCGTCAGCACGGGGGGATCGCCGGTGCCAGGGGGCATCGCCTCCAGCGGGACGCCGACGGCATCCCGCATCTGGCATTTGGTGCTGTTGATCCCGCCGCCCGCGGGGCGCCCTCGGCACACCCACCCATCCACCCAACCCCGGGGCTGCGCACCCTCCCCTCCCGCGGGCGGATTTCCGCGATTCCAGCGGAGACGTTTCCAGAGGTTTAATTTTTTGGGGGAGGTGACCCTCTTTCACTGACTGCCCCGAGGCTGGATGCGGCGTGTTTCTCCGGATTTAAAAATCAATGACGCCCTTCGTCTCGGATGCGGCGTTTTTCCCCGTCTACTTAAAAGAATGTCTTCTGTGAAAGGGAGATGGAGAAAATCTGCGGGTTTCGCCTTTTCTCATATTGCGTATTTCCACCCGACGAGTCAGGTCCCCTGCTTCCGAAAACATCCTTCACGAAGGCGTGAGCTTCTCCTTTTTCGAGGCGTTTCCTGGGAAAAACATGAAATCAGGGTTTCTGTCCCCGGTGGCGAGGAGCAGCCCGGGCCCATTTTGTGCACCCGCCGTGGGGACGAACGGGTTACTGCGCTAACAAAAACCCGATGGCGATTTTCGAGCAGAAAGCGGCGTCGCAGCGGAGGAAGCGGGCGGGAGGGGCGGGGCGGGGGCGCTGCCTGGGCCCCCCTGCGCCTCGCGGCCGGCGGGCAGCGGGGCCGTGCCAGCCGGGAGCCGGGCGGGCACGGCGTGCGCTGCCTGCCAGCGCCTGCGGCCGTGTGCTGAGCGCTTCCTTAACGTGAGCCGACAATTAGCCCATCCAGTGCTCGCGGCTTGATGGAAAAAAATGAGATGGAGATAGTATGCTGATGAGTTGCGGATACATAAGGATTGCGTTGTTGTGACAAGAGATTAGATAGCAGCCACTGATCTGCACTTGGAGGAAATTATTTTCTTCCCTGTGAAAGCAAAGGTACTCATAAAATATTTAAGTACTTTGAAAGAATAAAGCCTGTTCTAGCACTGGGATGATCATCTTTTCTCCTTTGGAATGCCATTCAAGGCATTGTGACAGCATTTTTGGCCCTGGGCTTGCATCTGTAAAATGATTTGTGGGATGGGACAGGTTTTGTACACTGAACGGAGACATGATTACATATGCTGTGATTTCCTATGATTAATTTCCTCTGGAAATTACTTTATGTCCAGATGCTGAGAAGCCTTATCTTGCTAAACTCTGCTGATATGGAAGCTCCTCAACTTTAAATTTTATTTAACGGGGAAAAAGTTAAACATAAATGTAGCAAAGAATCTCCCTTCATTCTTTGATTATCACTTTTTAAAATACTTTTTCACCTACGTATAAATGTTCTGTTCTTGTTGGCTTTTTGTTTTTTCGTTTGTCTGATGGAGATTAGGAAGGCTGGCGAATAGAGAGAGTAGTGCAGCTGGGGATACAAAGAATTTTGTCAAAATTTCGATAATCTAGAAGTTATTTGTAATTGATCAGATTAAAATGCTTTCTTTAATTCTTTTGAAGGGAAACCGTCTGACTTATAAAATTGTTACCAAACTTTGGCATGACAGTGCATTGTTTGGGGAGTGGTTCTGACATACGGCTATTTCCCATATGTAATCTGACTTCTGAAAAAAACAATGTATTCTTCCTAACAATGAGTTTCATCTGCTATAATGGGTTCGACAGGCAAAATTTCTTAAAAATTCTGGTGATAACATACAGAAAAGATCCAGGTTATGAAAATGAGCTGGAAAAGTCTGTGTTTGGTTATAGGTGAGAGCTTGGAATCTTCCTCAAATGCCTGGAATGAAACCCAAGGCATGAGTAGTTGCAGAAATGGATTTTGCAGTACCATTTTCAGTTCTTGGCACTGCAGGGAGAAGGTATTTAATGTGTATTGATACCATAGTATCACTTTGATTCTCCTAATGGGACAGTTTCCATGTTAGCACTACTTTTCTTAGCTTTGCAGGCAGAATGGAACTGAAATATGATTCTTTTCATTTTAACTAGAAAGCAAAGAAAAGCTGTGAAATTCTGGTTTTTCTTCAGAAAATTCTGAACTGGGGTGTCAGGTATGGAAAGCATGCAGATAAGAGATTTTCTGCAAGTAGATTCTCTCTTCTTGTAGCACGTGTGAGATTGTAAAAGGACACAATGGTACTTCCCCCTCTTTGCATATGCACAATGTAGTAAAAATTCATTTTGTTGTGATCAAGAGACTGCAATTTGAGAAAGAGAACTTGCTTGTGACTGAGGAATGGAGCTTTAAGTCTGCTAGTGTGTCTCCTCTAAGGTGCACATCCTCACTGTGCTAATTGAGCCTGTGGGGGTCTTCCATTGTCTGTTAGGTTTGTAATGCTCTCACCAAACACCTGCTTGTCTTCCATTCTAGTATTGATCCTTGCATGTATCCATGCATTTTCGAGGGACTGGTCTACTGAGAGCAGCTTCCTTCAGTGCTCGGTGCTAATGTTTCCCTGGATCATGGTCCAGCTAGGGCATTGAATGGGGCAGGTGTCATGGTGAAAAACAGTATGTGATTAGGTGACTTAAACTGTAACGTAATGCATGCAAATAAGGGTTGGAAGAGAGTTGTTTAAACGACTTCATATATGTCTGTTGTACAGTTATACATTCATAAAAATATTTAAAAATACTAAAATAAATTGCAAATGCCTAGTTCTGTCTTGTAGTTTAATTTCTCTGACTCTACCACCAAAAAGCTGTGAGGCTGTTTTTATTCTATGGGTGCGTTTGTGTGTAGAGTGGTCTTTTTAGTTAAAATTGAGTTTGACCTTCCAAAAACCCTTACATTTTAAATTAGTATATATAATTTTTTATCATATGTCAAAACCAGCTTGTCACAGAGGTTTCAAATAAAAGCCACAATTATATTTTAGTAGATTGTTGATGTAATTAGATTTCAGGTGGCTAGACCTGTGTTTGGGAATGTAATCAGTGCTGCATCACTGAAATTGAAGTGTGTCCTGCTGGCTCTTAGATTATGCGGGAGAAGTAAGGGAGTGGAGTGGATATGAAAGAGGCTGACTAGTCGTTCTCCTATCTTAATGGCTCTGCATTACTTCCTCTTCCTTGGGTTTGGTACAGCATGGCTGCACTGCATTGTTGCAGTGCCTCTGGTAGTTTACGAAGTACATGAGAAGTTAATTCACTCCACTAACCCAGGAGAACACTATTTCTTTTCTTCTTATTTTGCTCTTTTTTTTTTTTTTCCCTTTCCTCCCTTGGATTAGCAAATTGAATTATCTTATTGTGTGGCCAGATGAGTGCCAGAGCAAGTACACAGAACAGGACAGCAGTGTCAAGCCAGGAAGAGAGGAAGACTCATTTTTCCAGTAGCAAAGATACATTTCATCTACTTTACTGTCCTATATGGCTGTCCCCTGCACCACTGCAGTCTACTGCAGTCAGGCAGGAGGTGGGTTATGTATTAATCCAAGAAAACAAAAAATTAAGATACTGGGATTGTTCTGTTAGTCTTTATTTGAGGTCCTTGATATGCAAAATGGCCAAGGCCACAGACCAAGCATTCAGAACCTATCACTGAAAAAAATTTCTCTGGAAAATAAATGTGAAAAGAACAGGATAAGTAGTTCTGTTAAGCATTGTGGCCTTTGTACTAGGGTAAGCAGGATTTTTGTTCCAGGCTAATGTTAATATCTTTTCCTTTATGGAATTTAGGGATATAAATTTTCAAATATTTTCACAGTTTTTTTTTCTCCTATTTATTAGTTTTGAAGTGTGTGGGTTTTGTGAATTTTAGGAAGGTGCTAGCAGGTAGGGGTTTAGAGAAATGGTGGGGGTTTTAATTCAAAACAGAGATTAAAACATCGTTTTTATTCCCTGAATAGAAGAGGATAAATTTTTCTCATGTAAGTCCAGGAAATCAGTCAGCTTTGTTTCTCCTTTTTCTCCTCTGAGAAACTATTAGTGAAAAAATACGCTTTTCCTTAGTTAGGTGCTTTTCAGAGCTTTGGCATCATTCACTGGTGGGTTTGGTGGGCTGATTCACATCCAGCAACTGCAGCCCTTTTACTGTCTAGCTTTTTTGGTTGGTTCTGCTGCTTTTATTGCAAGGTTTGGTGTTCTTTTAATAGGGTCCTCTGTTTGCTTGTTTCCATTCTTTTGAACTGAAATGTTTTATATTCTGATCTAGTCAGTGAAACTTAAGAGGGCATTGTCCTTTTCAAATAGCTGAGTCTTCTGAAGTCTGTGTGATGCGTTTTCCAGATCTCATTTTGTGCTTAATTCCAAATAAAATTCTGGTTCTGCTCATTTTGTTTCTTTCCAGGAAGAACTGCAATTATTGAGCTTGTCAGAGACATAACAGAAGTTGTGCCACTCCCTGGCAGTTCCAAGATGTTTCTTTGTGCATGGGGTATTTAGTTAGTCTTCAGCTGTGGTATATGAAAAACTTGTAATCAATCCATTAGCAAGTCATTATGATCTGAAAGTAGTAATAAACTCAGTGCATTAAATCAGATGTACTTGCAACTTTTCCTTCAAAATTACATGCCCAAATAATTTTGTTGATGATCTTTCTATTCATTTGCAAATACTTGGCCATCTAAATATGCTTTCTATTCTGTGTTCAAAGCCTTTTCAATTTTGTCTTATTCGTCTTCTCAAAGTGGGTTGCGTTTCAGAATTAGGAAAAAAAATACAGGAAGTTAGAGTGTCACGACACCTTTTCAATTTTCTTATGAACATACTTAATTCCTGT